GGCCGGGCACAGCCCCATGACTGACCTTCTAACTGGAAGTTTGTACCTCTCCTTCCCCCCTTCACCATATTCACCCCCTGGGCAGCCCTCTGAGTGTCCACTGTGCCCACGAGACTGTTTCCATTTTGTTTGTTCGTTTGTGTTGCTTTTCTGGGTTAGACACATAAGTGAGGCCCGACGGTACAAGGCCTACCTCGTCTGATGGTGCTTCACTTTGTTGTATTTTACAGATGCTGTGGGTTGTTTTTTTTTTTACACAAATTGAAGGCAAGACGGCCCACCAGCGACAGGACTGCGACTCACTTCACTGGGGCCCTCACGTTGTGGCCGTGACCTGGAGCCCAAGCCCAGCACCTCCGAGGTGTGTCTGCCTGTCTCTGACGGACTGATTTCCCCGAGCGCAACAGCCGCTCGGTCCGCCATGTTGCCACGATGGTAAGAAAGATTTCATTCCTCTTTTATGGCCAAGTCACGTTCCTCTGCGTATATGTGTCCATCTTTATCCAGTTGTCTCCGATGGACAGCGAGGTTGCTGTCGTGTGTCGGTGACGGTTTCCTGCACTCTGCGAACGCTGCTGCGTCTGATGGAGTCCCATCTGCTTATGTTCTGCCGTCTGCCCAGGGAGACATATCAAAAGAAAATACTGCAAAGACCCACGTCACAGAATTTGCTGCTGATGTTTTCTCCTAGGAGCTTTATGGTTTCAGGTCTTACGTTTAAGCCCAGAGCCTAATTTGTGATGAGTGTATAGAGGTCTATGCTTGTTCATAGTCCACACTCAACCACTGAGCCACGCCGGCCGGGCATCTTTCTAAAAATCTCTAAGACACAGTCTGGCCCTGGTGTGTTTTTAGCCCTCGTCGAACAAGCCGTTTTTCTTGTGGCTTGTTTTACTGAGCAGTTGTCTCTATAGAGTCAAAAGGAGGCTCCACTGAGCCACGCCAGCCGGGCACAGATGTAACAGGGTGGGTGTTGCAGGAGAGGAACGCGAAGGTTTACCTACCGTGCGGTTTGGAAACTCAGCTCTCGGTCCTTTGCAATCTCTGTCGCCAAAAGCATCAGGTGCCCTTATCCTTCCGAGTTTTTCCCCGAAGGCGCACCATCATCGCCCATCATCAGAACCGAAGTGGTTTCCATGGCAACCTCCTCCTCCGATCCATCACGCTTTCTGACAGTACCATTCCATTCCGTCCCCGGGATCACACGGGCGCTTTCAAAAAGTAATCCTAATAATAAAACTCTTGAAAATGAAGCCAGGAAAGTATCAGCAGGCAACAGGAAAGACAATGTAATCCCCACAGACACCCTGAGACCATAAGACTGAGAGAGAAGCCATTCCCAGGTCGTGGTGGGTTGAGGGTGTTAATGAGTATTTCACATAAAGGGTAACATTATCACCCTCGCCGGTTTGGCTCAGTGGCTAGAGCGTCGGCCCACAGACTGAAGGGTCCCGGGTTCGATTGCAGTCAAGAGCATGTACCTCGGTTGCAGGCTCGATCCCCAGCCCCTGTCACATGAGGGAGGCAACTAATCGATGTGTCTCTCTCACATCAGTGTCTCTCTCTCTCTCTCCCCCGCCCCCCCCATCTCTTCCACGACCTCTAAAAACCAATGGAAAAATACCCTTGGTGAGGCTTAACAAAAAATAAAAAATGTGAGAGTAACATTATCAAAGAGGATAAGGGGACGGCGATAGCAGAGAGACGGCCACAGTGAGATGGCACGGTGGTTGGGGGACAGCCCGCGTCTTCTCCTTGCCCCCCATCTTCTCTGATAGGTGCAGGTGGCCAGCGTGGAAATGGAATTGAACTAGAGCTGCAGGGGAGGTTCCCACCGGGAAAGCTGTCCCTTGCAGCGTTCGGAGCGGAGCTGAAAGCAGCGACAGGTGCTCATGTGGTTCTGGGAGGTGAAGGCAGGCACCCACCTTCCGCTCACTCACCCTTAAGGCAGCTGGCAGCTTCGGGGACCCGGCTCTTCCCATGAAAGTCAGGACTTGAAGTGGCTTGGGCGGTCTCCTTCTGCCTTGTTCCACAGTTATATTTCTTTATCTATCTATCTATCTATCTATACATACATACACACACACACACACACACACACACATATATATATTATTGATTTATATTTCTTTATCTACCTATCTACCTATTTATCTATCTATACACACACACACACACACACACACACACACACACATATATATTATTGATTTCAGAGAGGGAGAGAGAGAAACAGAAACATCAACGATGAGAATCATCGATCGGACACCTCCCCTCCAGGGGGTCACAGTGGGCACGGGGGGCAGGTAGGTGAGCCCTCACTGCATGTTCTGTCCAGTTCCCCGGTTCCCATGGCTGTGGCTGTGCTGTCCACACACAAGTCCCTCGTGTCCAGCACGGTGCCTGGTAACAGGCTGTCTGTCTCCATCTCTGTCTGGTACACATATGCATAGTGTAAATACATGCGTAGTTGATATATATTACATGTGTGTGTGGGTGGATGGATGGATGAAAGAAGAGACAGGCAATCGATGTGTCTGTCTATTTAATACAATTTATGCATTATATATATATATATATATGCATACTTGATATGTTTATTCAATGTTTGTGTGGATAGATGGGTGGATGAAAGAAGAGATAGGCAAGCTATCTCTAGTACATATATGTATATATTGTGTATATCAGTGATGGCGAACCTATGACATGCGGGTCAGAGGGGACACACGAACTCATTTTTTTGGTTGATTTTTCTTTGTTGAATGGCATTTAAATATATAAAATAAATATCAAAAATATGTCTTTGTTTTACTATGGTTGCAAAGATCAAAAAATTTCTGTATGTGACACGGCACCAGAGTTAAGTTAGGGTTTTTCAAAATGCTGACACGCCGAGCTCAAAAGGTTCGCCATCACTGGTGTATATACACATTTAATATATGTATATATTAAACGTGTGGATGGATGATGGATGGATGAAAGAAGAGATAGGCAATCTATGTGTCTATTTAGTATAATTTATGCATAGTGTATATATATATATGCATGATATATTTATATATCCAATGTATGTGTAGATAGATGGGTGGATGAAAGAGTTAAGCAAGCTCTCTATATCTCTAGTACATGTATGTATATATCATATATATACACATGCTTAGTATTTATATATTAAATGTATGTGTGGATGGATGAGTGAAAGAGATAGGCAAGCTGTCTATATCTCTATTTAGCACATATATGTATGTATATTGTATAGATACACATTTAATCTATTTACATATGAAATATCCGGGTGGACGGATGAGTAGATGAGTAAATGGATGGGTAAACTCAGCAGGCATGATGGGAATGTTGCTGTACAAAGTGTTCCGCCTTCTTCCCCCTCTTTGTCTTACGCTCACGTAAGTACCAACATGGGGGTGTTCACTCTAAGCCACTTGCCCAGGGGAGAGCACCTCCGCTCGCGTCCCCCACATTTATTAGCTGGGGGGGGGGGCTTCCTGGAGCCCCTTGGGCGGCAAAGAGGCTCCTGTGTATCCGGCAGGACTTGAACCTGCCAGGGAGGCCCAGCTGACCTGGCTGCTGGGTGGGCCCTGCCTGTGGGAGGGGCCCCAGGCCCAGCCCTGAGTTATGCTAATTGCCCTCCGGAGCCCATTAGGAAAAACACAGATAGTTAAGCTGCAGCTTTGAGAGGAAACAATGAATGTGTCTTTGCCGCCTTCTCTCTTTTTGCTGCAACTAATTGGGTCCATTTCTCTGCTCAGGTCCCTGGGAAGATGGATGCCCCTCCAGTTTGTAAAATAAACAGAAATCTCTCTTTTTGTGCCCATTACAGCCGCCGCCTCCCGATCGTGCGGGTAGGTGAGTGATGGTTCACATCTTCTCCGGGAACGTGTTTTCCTCTCCTCACAGCGTTTCCGGAGGACTTCCTTCTCCCCTGCCCTGCCCTGCCCCTGAGGACAGGAAGGAATGCCCGGAAGCCTGCCTGTTCCCGGAACCGCCTTTCAGCGTGAAGGGACAGCACACTCCACCCCCGGGTCTCAGGTACCATGGGCTCTAGTCACAGGAACAGTGAACACGCAGCCACCATCGGGGAGGCCATCCTCCCGGCGTCCGAGGACGCCCCCAGATTTCGGGGGCAGATCCGACAGGTAAGGCCTGAGGGGGACAGGCGACAGGAGCCGAGGGAAGGTGCCGGGTGTCGTCCCCAGGGCACACGGTGAGCAGGTGACCTGTGACTGTGAGAATCTTTCCCCACGTGTGGCTTGGTCACCGTGCTCCTGTGTGTGGATTTTGTTTTGAGTAACTGTTAATGCAGCAGCTTAGAACTTTATTTCTCCCAAAATGAGTGACATTCACCCCGATTTCAGGGTAGCCTGGGTCATGTGGACCCCGCAAATGTAACCAGAGGGGAGGAAGCTGGCCTGGGACACTTTTGCAAGCCCCCCAATACTCTGTTAAGGTAAGACGCTGGATGTACCTTCGTATTAAATCTCTCACACCCACAGCATAGCGTTCTCTCACACTGTATTTTATTTCAGCAGCAGACAAGAGCCACCGCCCGGGTGGACGGATGGGTTAGCCCCAACAAGGGAGCGGTTCATTTACGTGGCTTCTCCCATTGCAGGTCAGGTCACCGCAGACTGCGGACGTGGAGTGGGGCGCGTGGCCGAGGACCCAGGCAGGTCAAGGGCAGGGACGCCCTGTGCAGACGCCTCGCACCACCCAGGCCTCACTCATCCGGGCGGCCCCACCATCCGTGTCAGCACCGCAGTCCCGGGAGAGGAGGGCAGTGTCTGCTTGAACGCCCTCTCCTCCTCTCTCCTCCGTGAGCGTGGCTCTCAGGTAAGAGTTCTTACAGTCACAGTTCAGTTACTTCGGTGCCTGCATTTGCTAACACGGGGCTGGGCTCACGGCAGCCTTCGTCAGTCCGAGGGGCAGCAGGACACCAAAGAGGACCTTCTTCCAGGCAGAGGACAATGGGTCTTCGGTCGCCGAAGACGCTTCCTTTCAGGGGACGATCCCAGATGGTCACAACCTCGGAGGAGGAGCCGCTCCAGGTCCAGGGCCTGCAAGAAACACAGCGAATGCTGAGATGCCGCCAGCTGCTCAGGTAGGAAACTTCTGTGATCTCTCAAACCCTCTCGCCTCTCTGACAACACAGCACACACCAGAACATCCACAGGCACATTCTCCTCTCCCCGACACATGCAGAGAGGTGAGAGGGTGGTCAGCAACAGAGGAGAGGAGTGGGAGGAAGAGAAGACAGAGGTCAGAGAGAGAGAGGAGAGAGCTGGAGGTCAGAGACAGAGGAGTAAGAGGGGTCTGTGGAAGAGGAGAGAGAGGGAAGTTAGAGAGGAAGGAGAGGAAGGTCAGGGGTAGAGGTGAGAGAGAGGGAGGACAGAGAGGAGGAGAGCCAACTCAGAGACAGATGAAAGGGATGTTAGAGGAAGGAGAGGGGGTCCGAGAGAGAAGAGGGAGGTCTGTGGAAGAGGAGAGAGAGATATAGGTGAGTGGGTGGTCAGAGTAAAAGGCAGAGTTAAAGTGGAGCGAGAGAGACAGAAGAGTGGGGTTTGGAAGAGGATGAGAGAGAAATAGAGGCGAGGTGAGAGATTGAGGTCAGAGGTAGAGGACAAGAAGAGGGGGGAGAGAGGGAGGAGGTAGCGATCAAGGAGAGGGAGATAGGGAGAGAAGAGAGAAGAAGGTGGAGAGGGCAGTCAGAGGAGCGAGAGAGGTCATAGAGAGAGAAGAGAGGAGATTAAGAGAGATGCCACTGGAGGTTAGAGATCAAGGAGAGAAATAGAAGGAAGGAGAGGGGGTCCGAGAGAGAAGAGGGAGGTCTGTGGAAGAGGAGAGAGAGAGATAGGTGAGTGGGTGGTCAGAATAAAAGGCAGAGTTAAAGTGGAGCGAGAGAGAAATAGAGGGGAGGTGAGAGATTGAGGTCAGAGGTAGAGGACAAGAAGAGGGGGGAGAGAGGGAGGAGGTAGCGATCAAGGAGAGGGAGATAAGGAGGTCAGAGTAAGGAGAGATGAGAGAAGAAGGTGGAGAGGGCAGTCAGAGGAGCGAGAGAGGTCACAGAGAGAAGAGAGGAGATTGAGAGATGCCAGTGGAGGTTAGAGATCAAGGAGAGAAATAGAGGAGAGGGGAGAGAGAGAAAAAGGTCAGTGGAATAGGATAGAGAGTAGAGGGAAGTCAGGGGAGAGATACAGAAGAGGGGTGTATGTCAGATAGGGGAGAGAGAAACAGAGGAGACAGAGAGAGGAAAGGGAGGCAGAAGAGAAGAACGAGAGGGAGGTACGATGAAGAGGAGAGAAGAGAGAATGAGGTCATGGATAGAGGTGAGAGAGGGAGTTCAGAGAGACAGAAGTGAGGCGGAGGGAGGAAGGTTAGAGGAGAGTAAGATAAAGAAGAGGGGGGAGGAGGATAGAGAGAGGAGTGAGAGGGTTATCAGGAATAGAGGAGAGAGGTGAGACAGAAGAGCGAGGTAGAGGGGAGAGAAATAGGTGAGAGGATGGTCAGAGTTGAGAACAGTGAGGTAGTGGAGAAGAAATGAGGAGGTATAGGAGAGAAATAGAGGTCAGAGGAAGAGGAGCGGGAGCGAGGGAGGTCAGAGATCAAGGAGAGAAAGAGAGGGATGGCAGAGTTACAGGCGAGAGGGGAGAGAAATAGAGTAGAAGAGAGGGTGGTCAGCAATAGAGGAGACAGAGAGGGAGTTTTGGGAGCGAGAGAGGTCAGAGATCAAGGAGAGAAAGAGGGATGGCAGAGTTAGAGGCGAGAGGGGAGAGAGAGTAGAAGAGAGGGGTGGAGGAAGATTAGACAGAGGTGTTTTAGAGATCAAGGAGAGAAAGATAGGGAAGAGAAACGGAGATCAGTGATAGAGAAGAGAGAGGTCAGAGATATGGAGAAAGTGGAGAGAAAGGAGAGGGAGGTTAGAGATCAAGGAGAGAGAAGAGAGATCGAGATCGGAGATAACAGGTCAGATGAAGAGGAGAGACAGAACAGAGGTTGGGGAGAAGAGAGAGAGGGTGTGGTCACCAATAGAGGAGACAGAAGAGAGGGGTGGAGGAAGATTAGACAGAGAGGTGTTTTAGAGATCACGGAGATCAGTGATAGAGAAGAGAGAGGTCAGAGATAAAGGAGGGAGGTTAGAGATATGGAGGTCAGATGTAGAAGACAAGGAGGTACAAGAGAGTGGGAGGGAGGAAGATTAGAGAATGGGTGATCAGGAATAAGAGAGAGGTTGGAAGCAGAGAAATAGAGGAGAAGGTAGAGAAGACAGTCATGACCAGTGGTCAGAGTAGAGGACAGAGAGAGGGAGGAAGATTAGAGAAGAGGGGGAGGACAGAAGAGTGAGAGGGTTATCAGGAATAGTGGAGAGAGAAATAAGGAGGTAGAGGAGGGAGATTAGAGTAAGAGGAGAGGAAGGAGAGAGATTCAGAGAATAGTGGGGGTTGGAGGAAGATGAGAGAGAGAACAGAGAATGGAGATAGAGGGGAGAAGTGAGAGGTCAGAGATAAAGGAAGGAAATGAGAGATAGAGGCCAGAGGTAGAGGAGAGAGAGAGAAGACAGCAGGAGAGAGAAACAGAGGAGAGGGAAGTCAGAGACAGGTGAGAAGATGGTCAGAGTTTATAGGAGAAGTTCTGAGAAACTAGAGAGAGATTCAGAGAATAGTGGGGGTTGGAGGAAGATGAGAGAACAGAGAATGGAGATAGAGGGGAGCAGTGAGAGGTCAGAGATAAAGGAAGGAAATGAGAGAGAGAAGACAGCAGGAGGGAGGTAGAGATGAAGGAGAGAGAAATAGAGGAGAGGGAAGTCAGAGACAGGTGAGAAGATGGTCAGAGTTTATAGGAGAGGAAGAGGAAAGAGAAATGAAGAGGTATAGGAGAGAGCGGGAGGTTAGGGATCAAGGAGACAGAGAAGAGAGAAGTGCGAGTTCAGAGATAGAGGAGAGAGGTCAGTGGAAGAGGGAGATAGCGAAGTTAGAGGCAGAGGATAGAAATATAGAGCAGAGAGACTGAGGTCAGAGATAGAGAAGTGCGAGGTAGAGGAGAGAGAAATAAAGAACGGGACCAGACACCGATGGGAGAGAGAGAAGAAGAGGAGAGAGAGGGAGCTGACAGAAGCAGTGGAGAGGGTGGGAAGAGAGGTTAGAGATCAAGGAAAAAGAAGACGGGGGGGGGGGGGGGGGGGGGGG